CGGCCCACGGGGCGGCCTGCGCGTGTGGCCAGGAGCTGGGGAGAGAGGAGAGGCAGGCGAGGAAGTGAGACCACAGTCCACGGCCACAGGCCCCAGCGAGTGCTGACGGCCCTCAGAGAGGACGCAGAGCCGCTGCTGGACAGACCCCAGCAAGAGCTGGACTGAAGAGCCGGCCTCTAGGCCACACAAGGAACGGTGCTCGCTCCCGCCTCCCACTCCGCACCGTAGCCAACCCTCCCGGCATCGAGGCTGACCCCACAGTCCTGGGAGCTCCCTCCGGATCTCCACTCAGCACCTGTGAGCTCTGCGACCCCGGCTAAGACACCTGACCTCCTCGGCCTCCCTGTCCCCGTGAGAAGGAAGCCCCCCGCCCAGGCTCTGTGAGGAAGGGCCTGGTGCCAGCAAACACCCAAACCCGCCCGCAGGGCACCAGCCCCTTCCCACCTCCCACCTGGATGACCCCTATGCGTTCTCTCTCACACACACACACAAGCACACGAGTGCGCACGGGCACACCCAAGTCGGGGACAGAGTCCCCCTGGACCTTCACACGTCACCCAAAGGGAACTCCAACTCCTCCTGCCCCTTACCGGCTCCTCTCCCAGCCTGTCCACCTGGCGAACACCTGCTGGTCCCTCCAGGTGCGGTGAGGCCCCGCCTCCTCTGACAGGTTCCCAGGGAGGAGCAGGGGGTGGGGGTGGGGTGGCCCTGGGCACACTCCCCTCAGGCCTGGGTCCTGCCAGCAGCCAAGGGGGGTCACGTGGGGTTCAGGAACCAAGGAGCCCCCCCAGCCTGAGGGCACAGGGGGCCGGAAGGCCAGCGGCTGCCCCCTGGCCTGGCCCCGCCACCACTTGCTTCTCGGATGCCTCCTGTCTACGCCACCTGCTCCTGACGACACCCTGAGGCCTGAGCCTCTGTGTGCACCTTGGACCGAGTGCCACTGCGGCCTCAGCCGGTCTCGCTCTCTGAGTCATTCCTTCGAGGGAGCGAGTCCCCGAGGGCAGCCTGACGTCCCTCTTTCCAGGCCGGTGGGGCCTGCGCCCTCCCCGCC